ATCGCTTGTGCGGCTTACGTTAATAGAAAAGCAAATTCTTTCTCTACCCAAAGCAGCATGGCCGCATGTGTTAACTAGCACTATACCCCTAAACTCACATTATCCTATTGAAGAGCTTATTTTGAAGGCTTACAAAGATTTCGTAAATCTTCAGAGTTAGCAGTCCAAAACGCTTCGTTCTGCTGTAGAGGAATACTAAAGACGGTACTTGCGCGAACTACTGCCCGGATTTGAAAAGTGGTTTTCCTACGCTAAGGCTAAACAATCTCCTCTGATCGATAACTTCGATATAATCCACGAGGACCTCAAGCCGTTCTAGAAGGTCGAACCTCGCCGTTTGCTTAAGAATATCCAGCATGTGACAGAACTTGATCTCTATTCCCTGCGCAAGTGCGGCTTCGCGAACGAACGATTTAATAGAACAAGCGACGACTAGCTTGTAAATGACCTTGGAGAGCTTTTTCATGAAGTGTCACATAACATCCCTAATGTAGACTTTGCTCTTAATCTATTAGACGAACCTAGGGTTACTACTACCTGGCATATGCTCGATGCGGACAATACATTATACCCTTCATTTGAGGACGCAAACCACAACCCCATATGAGATATAAACGATAGTTCGTGCTCGGTCGCATCTAGTATCGATTCCAGACCCACTATCTCTAACTACGGAATTCCGTTTGTTTAGGATATTTCGCGCGCGAAAGATGTCTGCTCGCACCCCGGATTCAGACTTATGCACGGCTTCTTTTCTTCTCCTATGACCGGCCTAACTACTAAGGCTCTAGTACCTATCTTATCGCAAGCAGCACCTTTAACTTTTAGTGACATCGTGTATCCTAGTCCCTAGTATACGGATAAGATGGACTAAGGGGATTATAAGGAAGAAGAAGATCCTCCTTAGGGAGAAAAGACTAACGAACTCTACTAGGCTGGCAGTACAACGGGTAGCTATAGCTCTAACAGTAGCTGGCAGTATTCTTACCAACAACAATTTGTAAAGCTGGTTCAAACCATCTACCAAACCAGTCACAAGTATCTTAAGCAGTCTAACTACGGGGTATAGGCGCCCTATAATGCAGTCAAAAATCACAGCAGTCTATATGATGTCAAATTCACGGCTGTGCTCCAATGCGACGAGAAGGACTGCGAAGAACAAAGGAAGTTTTTCAACCCTGGTGGAAGAGAGGAGCGAAGCCGGCAGTTCCAGTCCCGGTTTGTGTTCAACATCAACGGAAATTCGTTTAGTGGGCGATACTACACGCTGCTGCAGTCAAAGAGTGCGGTGCTCAAGCAGACGATTCTGCGAGAATGGCACGACGAGCGCTTAGTACCTTAGGTGCATTACATCCCCGTTAGCCTGTCTATAGACGACTTACCAGAGACTATTCGATACATAACGAGTCACGAAGATGGAAAGAGGAGAGCGAAAGAGATAGCTCGTGCAGGTCGGGAGTGGCATAGGAAGGCACTGCGAAAGAAGGATTTCACCATATATCTTTATCGCCTTATGTTAGAGTTAGCGCGGATTATAGATCCGAATCGAGCAGTGGAGTGATCAGCTTCTTAATTTCCCAACTTGTACTTAGATAGAAGCTAGTCTCTTAACCCGTGATGTCTTGTACTATATATTTATGCATACATTGGTGAGGCTGTCCCTGAAATCGCGTGAGGACCCCGGATGTTGCTTTACTGAATGTCCGTCCAACTATTACCAAACATATCATGTATTGCGCGCTAATACAACACGGGAGAGCAGACGACTTAGTAACTGACGTAGTCGTGCGTGTCGCTATATGTAGCCCATATAGTCGACAAGTAGGCAAACGTACCGTCAGGGTTGTCACTTAGTGCAATACGTTATGCGAGAGGAGTGCCTGAAAGCAGCGACAGAAAAACGAGCACAATGTTCATATCATACTGTATATCACCGCGTAGAGCGCTACGTTCAAATGCAACGGGGAGGGGGCGCACGCTGCAATTCGGGGTTCGACTCGCAAAGCATTATATACTAGGTAAGAGGCAGTAGGTTATGGTGGGACAATAGCATGGCCATATCTGCTCGATCTGAGGACTAGAAGTTCATAGTTGAGCAATGACTGGGACAGTCGGCGACTTGTATCGCGATCTCGTGTGCAACTAAACAAGAAGAGATAAGAGAGGTAAAGAACGAAGGATTGGGTGGGAACTTCACGTATGTGTACGTTTTTGTCTTCGTGGGGAACACAATCTCTTTTCCATTCAAGCCGCAATCGCCAACGAATGTACTGTATAGCGTTGTGCCTATTTTTACACGGATTGTGCTCCATTGAGCTTGAAGACGCTTACACGGTCAGCAGTCATCTGCTTACAGTTAGTTACTGTAAGCAAATGACCGCTGATCCACACGTAAATAGCTTCTGCGGAACCTCCGTTTGCTATATATCCTATTCGCAGCCGTCTTCAATAACATCTCCAACAAACGATTTGCTGTCGAAGTATCATCTCCTCGTGATTTCTGCCCTCAGCCATACTCAACAACCCTCGCAGTACGGCCTTCCAGAACGTGATCATAGTCGGGTTATCGATACGGTCAAAGCAAAAAATGGGCAGAAACTCCGGAAATTACGTACAGTGGCTATCATGTCCCGTTATAGACCTACTTACGACGGCGAAGGATAGAGATGTCGAAAAGATAGACGTGGCGCTTAAAGAACTGACCAATATTCTACTCTACATAGCATGCACTAAAGGCTCTACGGGTGTATCGAACGAATTGCTTAGCGAAGGGGCAGACGTCAATTTTGTAAACGGCTACAGCAATGGTCGCACCCCACTACACGCAGCTTCCATCAAAGACAGCAGAGACGTAGTGAAAATGCTAGTTCGTAAAGGGGCAGACATCAATGCTAAAGACGAAAGAGGGCGCACCCACTTATTGTAGCACTTGATTATGGTCACTCGCATTTAGCGAAGTGGCTCTTTACGAAAGGGGCGGACTTCGATGCTAAAGGCGAAGATTGTATCAGGGCACTACTCGAAGCTGTGAGGCGTCGCGATACGCGCACAATACACTTACTGTTTGAGAAGGGGGCAGACCCAAATGCTAGAGACGAAGAAGGCTCCACGGCACTCCATATGGCTTTTGCTTATCCTTGTCCTAAGATAAAGGCATTGCTGCTTAGCCACGAGGCTGACCTCAACATTCCATACTGCGATGGTCGCACTCTACTCCACGCAGCATCAACTGAGGGCTCCCTGGGAGTGGTGAAAGAGCTACTTGGGTTAGGGGCAGACTCCAATGCTAGAGACAATGTGACAGTGTTAAGATAGAGGGGAGGACTGCGCTGAATTGACTATCTGAGGTGGGCTAAGCTACATATATAGATGACCGTACATGAGCTATCCTAACTCGTACTAGAGTTGATCTGGGCAAGGCCCAAACCGTTACAGACAAGGATGGCCAGACGCCACTACAAATAGCATCCACTAAAGGCTACAACAAAATAGTGGGGGTGCTGCGTGACACAAAGGCCAAGAACACGAAGGCCAAGGTCAAAGCTGGAAACAAAGGTAGTCTGTAACGAGCTAGAGCCTAGATGCTATAACGATCCTCGGTGGAACCTTCGGAGTGTCCTCGGTACTCTAGAAGCTTCGAGATACTACGCGAACGACAAGCTTGACGTGTATAAATATCGCAGCACCGTAGATAGGTTTTCCTCTTCATCGAATACAATCCTTTTACTAGGCATCAGCAACCTTTGCGTAGCCCCTTACATAGTCGCACCATACCTCATGCAGGAACTGATAATAAGGGGAGTGCGCTCAAGTAAAAGAAGGGGTAGAGTGATAAGGCTCTGTTGAGCATGGCTACGGTAAGGAGGCCGCGCAGAAGGCATTGCGCTAGGGCTGGGCTAGCGAAGAAGCGGCGTTTAAGTCATAGTTACACCACATAACACACGACAGACACATAAGTCGGTAATAAACCTACATTACCTATCCTCATCGCCTATTGGGTTCATCGGTCCCAGACGCTAACCTAAGTGCCTTATGTACTCTTCTCATCTACTGCTCCTTGCGTTTGAAACCCGCAGATATATTTCCTCTCTTCTATAAGTTCATAGATTCTGCCTGCGCTCAGCTGGCAGTTGACATTGGCTTTCCACTCAACAAACCTTTGACTAAATGTAGAAGCTAGTACCAGGCAAATGTGGTACTACTACGATGCACACATTTGCCACTCGTACATCATATCTCGCTCCTCCCGCTTCGAAGTCTTACTTCGGAAGCCAATGCAGGCTTTTGTTTGTACGCTTTGGAGTCTAGTGAGATTTTGGAAGCCGTGTGCCTCCCGCCACCTGTTCCAGCTTTCCTATTCTTGAGACTGAGTTAAATCCAAATACATGCGCAGGATCTTGCCAGCATAGAGACAGAAGATCCATGGCCATTCAACAGTCGGCTACAAACTGTAAGAGCAAGCTGCGCAGGTACTGTGGTTCGCGACATGCTATCTTCGTATGGAATCATGGCAAGATGCACGTCTCGGTATAGACCTGGTAACAGAGGTAGACAAGGGGGCTTCCTTTGATCTGCAAAAGCTCTGGGGCTACCAGCAGGCTGTGATGAGCGTGTGTCCTTGCGGCCGACGAAGCTGGTAAGCCGGCTCTCACGTGGCTCCTTTCCAATGACTGGGGCAGCAAAGTTCTTGTCCGTTCGTCCTGTAGGCATAAGGTGTCGCTCTGTCAATTCTTCTATGTAGCTCGCGAGCTCCTCATCGCGCCGGTGCACCACGCGTTGTTTGAGTGGTTGGTCCTCGTTGGAGGCGCACCTCGTTCAACGGGCGGCTAAAGTTGAGCGCCACACACCGTGTTCATCAACAACCTTTCAGTATGAAAAGTCATCACGATGACAGATCGCACGTGCCTCTGCAACGGCGTTCTTCACAGACACTACTGCGCATTGTGGGCATGGACACGATACGTTATATCTTAGAAGAATCTTCAATGCAACAACTTTTCTTATAGCTTCGGGGTAACTTCGAGAAACCCTTCTAGGTTGCGTACTGGTCGCACAGCAGAGCTGACTTGCATACTCGCCTTCCAGGCGTGTACATTCTCGATGAGAACTGGTTGCGATACATCGAGAGCCTGCGGAGCAGCTCGAAGACCAGAGTCTGCGACACCCAGCTCAGCCTTGGCTTCATCAAGGACCTTGTTAGCAACTCCCTTCTCTATCCTGAGGTTGTCAGTAAGATAGCTGGCAACGGCATCTGAGGCAGCTTCGTTGGACGACGCGTCTTCGGTACGGGTCTGAAAAGCCTCGTCGTTGGCTGCGATCTTGTGTTCGGCGAGGATAATCTTGAATGCAGCGGCAGCGGCAGTCTTCTTCTCACCAAGGGAAGACTCATTCGCCTTGGCCTGTGCTAGGAGATGCACTGACAGCTTGGAGCGCTGGGAGGACGATGTCGAGATGTAATGACTGTAGAAGTCGACCACATCCTTCTTTGTGAGCTTCTCAAGAGTCGCGGCGTCAACGCCGGCTGTACATTCATTAATCCTATACTAATGTAGGAGAGTCGGAATTGGCCTACCTTGCAGGAAATCATACGAATCACTATAAATATGATTCCAGAACCTGTTGGCTTCAGACGACAAGCTCTCCAGTTTCGCCAGCCTCTTGTTGATCATGGCGCGCTTGTGGCTCTCGAAGTCCTCCTCGCTCATGTCGTTCAACGTCTGCTCGAACGTGTTGAGGAAGTTCTCGATGCGACCCTCGAGATACTAACATTCTTTCTCACTTTGGATGAGGATGCGGTAACCTGACCAAATGTCGTGAAAGCTAGGGCCAGAGAACACGACGTAGCCGAGCTGCTCGATGGTACGAAGCTGATGAAAGCAAGGCTCGTCTGTCATCTGTCCAAGAAGCAGCAGCTTGGCGCGCATAATGCTGTCGTAGCGGTGCCCAACATACAGGCTGTACTCGATGCAGTGGTTGACGTTTCCAGGGTCCTTTAGTTGCTTCTTGTAGATGAAGTTGCTTCCAGATGGCCATATGAGTCCCCGAGGTGTCGGTACCTGGTTCGCTGGCAGTCCCCTTGGCTTGACAATACGCTCTACGAGATCGGTAATCTCCAAAGCTTCCTCTTTGTACAGATTGCCGAGTGCCAAGACCTCGACATGACATTGCGCTAGGATCTGCGGGAAGAATTGCTGGACATCACGCGCGGTCACGTTCTCAAGCTCTGGGACCAGGTCTTCGTTCATCACACTCTTCTCGCTCTTGAACTGTTCAGAGTAGGAGCCAATCATGTCGGAGGGCTGCTCGTACTCCGAATTGCGTAAGTAACGCAACATCTGGTCGCGGATGATCTGGAAACGGTCTTCCGATACCTCGAGATCCCGTACCTGGAGCAAAATCTTCCCTAGAAACACATCTAATTTGCCATTGTAGCCACTGACATCGATCAAAAGGCCGCCGATGTGATTAGTAAAGTTGTACATCAGTCCAGAGTAGCCGGCGTCGTATAAACACCCAGCTAGAGCATCATTCACAAGCTCGCAGTAGAGCGTGCATAGTAGTGTGGTACGAGGTGTGACGCTAGCGATAGGCGTTCGGAAGTAGATGTGCACATGAGCCTTGGGTACCCAGAACTGATCGTCCTTCTTCCACCAGACGCGCACGTTGTCGTCATGGCGGATAAGCTTAGGCGCCTTGGTCGGCTGTCCAACGTCTCTCTTTTCCACCTCCAGTCGGGTTAGGATAAACTCGTTTCTGTGTAGGAAATGTAACTCTGCTAGCCAGTTCTTGCTCGCGAATGCTTCTCTCATCTCGGCAAGGAAGTCTTCTGGTATCTTCTCGACTTTGTACTCTGTACCATACCACTTCTCTTTTTAGTCCCAACCACCTGGGAAATCTTGACTCACAATCGTCATCCTAAAGTTGTCCGGTCGGAGATAAGACATAGCTTCGCTAATCAGCTCGGCATCGAACTTCTTAATAGTGGCTGGTCCACTGAGCAACATCCTGCGGTCGTACGGCCCCTGCATGATGCCTGCTAGATCACTTGTAGTTTGGCTGGGTAGGCTCTTTTCCTTGAATCGGAACTTTACTTAACTAATCTGCATTTGCTCTTTGACAACCCACTCTTAAGGCGGCTGATCGCGCATGAGTCCTATGTATTGGAACACAAGCTTTGTAATCTCCTTGTAGCGATTAAGGCCCTCCTCAGTCAACAAAATATAGACAGTAAACAGTCCTGCGCCAGGACAAAGGGTGCACCCTCCAGCTCCCAGTTCGCTCGCCCAGCCTTTTGCCCTGATAAGCGCAAGGATACCGCCAGGCCCTTCATAACCGAGCAAGTAGTCAAGATATCTTGAAGGCTGTGACTCGTAAAACTTATCTTCATCACGGTACGCGAATTAAAGCTCTAGTGACCGAGACTCTAAAACTGGTCTGGCGAAGGTCTGCGTCAGCAGTTCGTTCTCGGTATAAACGGGCATATCCCAGCAATTCTGGCCCAGGTTCTTGTTCGGCACTCTAGCAAAGATCTGCTCTACCCATGCTTCCAGAGTATCCAAGCTCTCTCGACCTAGGACAACCAACTTCATACGGTTCGCCGAGTAGTGCGTTAAATAGAACTTGATGAACTCGTCGCGGATTCTTACACCACGCGTTACAGGGCCATCGTGTAGAGTCCTGTAATTTCCTGTCGAGAAGCGGTGGTACGGATGGCCTGGATTGGCCAATGCTTTGTCAAGCTGAATCATCCGCCAAGTGTCATCTTGGAGATTCTTCTTGTGCTCTGAGTCCACCGCCTTGAGCTCGCGATCAATTGTGTCTTCCAAGAATAGTGGGCTGATGAAGAACTGGCCAAAGCGATCCATCCCTCCCCATAGCGGCGAGTCATCTTTGGACCTTGCCAGGTTTGTTTGTGACACTTCCGGCGATGCGGTTTGACTGCACGCAGGCGTGGACGAAGGATATGAAAGCTCGAAGTAGTAGTTGGTCGAAGTGGAGGATGTAAAGGCATTCGAGTATCCGCCGTGGCGCGTCAGATACTGACTGTAGGCATTCTCCTCTGGGTACTTTTCAGTCCCCATGAACAGCAGGTGCTCCACCGCGTGTGCGATACCCGGCATATCTGGCGGATCGCTGAAGCTGCCCACGTTGACATCCAGCGCCGCACTAGCCTTGTCTGTCTCCACGTCGTGTATCAGGAGAACCTCTAATTGATTCGATAGGGTGATGACTCGGTAAGAGCGGTTGTCGAGTTGTGGCCTTTCCAGATCTTCTATGCGCTGCCGTCCTCCAGCTTCTTTTTCCAGCGTTTCTACCATCTTAGCTAATTTGCTGCTTCTTTTTAGCGATGTGACGAGGCTACGCTGTGTGGGCAGTGGCGAGGCGCTTGCAACCAGAGTTGTCAACAATCAAATATATTTGCAAATATAGATCGTCGTCGGCGCCAAGACTCAAATCAATCAAATCAAATACAGCGTTGTTGTAACTGCAAACAAGTCAAGTTTTATAGCTGTATTTGATTGACTTGATTGCAGTTTATTTAGGGTTTTGCGTGAGGCTGTTGAGTTAGCTCGGCTAGCGATCTCGTGATAGTTTTTTGGTGTTGTAGTGCAGTTAGTAATCAATCAGAACCTCGTTTCTTGGTTAGTTCGCTTGCCGTCCGATCTTTTTAACTACAATAACGCGTCGATAACTCACAACCCATCTCTTTTATGTATTAGTATCACTGTTATGGCTTGTCATAATGTAAAACGACGCGCTCTTACGCATAATAACGCTAACACGCGCCCGTCAAAACAGCGTAGACTCCTTACGAAGGGCACTGAAAGCCAGCTGGTAGTCGTTGATGATACTTAACCTAGCTTATCGCGTGAAGCTCTAACGATCGCGAGCTAGGCCGACGATTTTGAATCACAGTTGCGAGACTCACGATTGGAGACTGCGATTGCTACGCCTGTTAAGGATTCAGAAGTAGCCACCGCGGCCTCAACGGCGGCTGACGAAGACGACGACGACGATTTTGATACACGTTTTGTGGACAACTTTGAAAGCGTAGATTGGGGTCGTTTGAAAGGCTTTATACGGCCGCCGCGGACTTAATCTCAGCGCAAAAGCTGGATATATGATTACGGTTATCGCGTCGCCCTACAATCAAACCTAGATCGGATATTCTTCGTATGCCGCGATTGCTACCTAAATAAGAGGCTTGATTTGGGCGTGGTGGAGACGACACAGGCGACGAGCTCGGCAACGACTCATCTGCTCAAGAAACACTGTATTGCCGCTTCGGGCAAGGTGCCTATTACGCTGCCAGCGGGTTAGAGATTGCTTATAATGCTGACGGGCGCTGGCGTACGGGTTAGTCAAGCTATCGCCAACGAGATTGGAAACTTCGACGTACAAGCGTTTCGGTTGTCGGCTGTTTGCTGGCTTGTTGACAACAATATATCGTTGAGGCAGTTTGAAGACCCAGCGTTTCGAGCGATGATACAGTTTGCAAACCTAGAGGCGGAGAAGTTGTTGTGGATGAGCCACAACAGCGTTAATCGGTTTGTGATGCGGTTGTATAGGTATATGCAGCCCTAGGTCGTGAAGCAGCTTGGAGAGGCTATAAGCAAGATCCATATAAGTTTTGATGGATGGACGACTAAAGGCGGCAAACGAGGCTTCTTTGGAGTAGTTGCTTACTACGCTACGGCTCATGGAATTATTAAAGACGTCGCCATCGACTTGCTGCAGCTTACGGGCGCCTATACGGGTGACAGGATAGCTGATTGTATCGAGAGAACTCTGCAAGCGTTTGGAGTTGACGCAGCAAAGTTAGGATACTTTATGCTCGACAACGCGTACAACAACGACTCGGCTATTAAGAAGCTCGCTAGCAAGTACGGTTTTATCGCTAGCTATCGTCGCCTACGTTGCGGCGCTTATACGATTAATCTCGTGGGCCAGGCGGTGATCTTCGACTCGAACAAGGATGCGTTTAACAACGACGACGCCAATATTATCGTAAGTCTCCTAGTCCTCTCGGGATTGCAATTACTAACTAATTAATACAGGACGAGGAGCAGTTTATGGGCGATTGGCGTCAACGAGGCCTATTAGGTACGCTTCTTGACGTTATCAATTATATCAGAACGCCCTAGCAATACGACGTTTTCAAGAACTTTTAAGTTCTCGCTAACAGTGAGCTCCCCACCGAGAAACAGAGGATACTTGAGCTGATAAAGCCTGTCGTTACGCGCTGGAACTTGTATTGTTTAGCGTTTGAGCGTGCTGTTGAGTTGCAACTGGCGTTTAACTCGTATATCGCGTATTATATCGACAATTAGCTTGCTGCTGACAGTTACGCCAGAACCCGTAGAAATAAGACGTCTGACGCGCCTACATGGATGAGATCGGGCGGGCTTACAGTAAACGATTGGGCTGTCGTGAACGACTATATTAAGGTTCTCCAGCCGCTGAAGTCAGCTATAAAACGGCTCGAGGGCCGCGGTACAAGCGGCTGTTTTGGAGCGATATATGAAGTATTGCCTGTCTTCGAATACTTACTTGGAGAGTTTGAGCAGCGTTACAAGCCGTACGAGCTCGTCGATTACGAGGCAACTGGTGCTCCTGAGGACTACCTCGCGATCAACTTGAAGGCGGCGTGGGCAAAACTTAATAGATACTATTAAAAACTTGACGAGTCGCCCGTATACTACGCCGCTTGCTGCCTCTACCTATACTACAAGCAATATTGTGATCGCGCTTGGCGTGACAAGCCTGGTTGGATTGCTCGCGCAAATGAGTCCTTCTAGCAACTTTGGGGCAGTTACTAGGTATCTTGGAGCCTGAGGAGTCGCCTAAGAGAGCGCAAGTCTAACGCTATTGACGACGCTATCGCGGCAATTATGGAGGACCTATTGTCTGACAGCGACGAGGGCTTTGACGAGTACTAGCGGTGGCGAGCTTTTGAACTAAAATAGACGAAGACCATGTTTGAGAGCCCTGACAGCAATCTGATAAAGTATTGGATTGCTCTACGACTAAAATATCCTAACCTCACACGCCTTGCGATCGATATATTAACGATACCTGCTAGTAGTTGCGAGTGTGAGCGTATGTTTAGCGAGCTCGGCGATCTACTTACTCCTTAACGTCGCAAAATTAGTCCGCAACTACTCGCCGCGTTGCAGTGTATACGGACCTGGAAGAGTACAGGCGCCGCAGTTGCTAGAGCTGTTACGGAGTCTTAACTTAGCGATAAGCAGCTAGACTAGCTATACGAGCTTGCACAATGGACTGAGTATAGTAACGATAACGATTGAAGCGGATTAGTATATCTAACAGCGCAGCTGGACTATAGTTAACTACTTCGCTTAACAGCTAGTTTCTCTACTAAAAAGAGCCTAACTCGCGAACTGTACTGCTCCGCAAACGCTGCCGAGATCGATCGATACACCTCCCGCTGCCCAGCACGTAACAATTAACTCCATACGGAGCTACGATCTCGAAATTGACGCTGCTCGACGATACCTGCCGTTGCTGAGCGTCGTTGACGTCGGTTGACGCTGCTCGTTGCCCGCTCCCCACCTCACCACCTTACTACTAGCGCCGGTGAGCTCGTTAACTCTACGATAGTTACTACAACTAGATCACGCGATTACGGCTGTATATATACTTAATTAAGCTACTTATCCCTATCACGAAACACTAGCTTAGTGTAGTTGCTCGCTCCTGCTAGACGGTGAGTTGTATATAGGAGCTTCGTCGCTCCTATACACCTAGTACCTCTAGGTAATCCTTTACTAATACGAAACCGTGTTCCGCAACCTCTACAGTATACTAGGTAGTAACTAGTAGTTTAGTTTTAAAAGTTTTTAGGACTACAATAGATATACAACTTAATATATAGGTATATTAGGACGGCTGTAATTTCGAAACACGCCTACGGACGCTATTATATGCCTCTTTTTTGCACTAACTCTAATACAACCACCTGTCTAAGATCTTACGATACCTGCCTAATCGGGTAATTAAAACTGCAAGTATTTGTCAAATTACTAATCAAATATGCCCGTTTCGGCCACTAAGTCAATTAAGTCAAGTACAACACTAAAAAAACTCCAAACAAGCCAAATACGAGCTTCATATTTGATTGACTTGATTGTTGACATCTCTGCTTGCAACAACCTGGCGACTACGAGGATTATGTATGCGGCAGAAAGTTGGAAGAGTAGACGTGTTGAATTGTTCGTATCAAGACCATCGCACGGCACAATTGGCAACAAAGCTCATATTCATGACAGCGCTTGGCCTGCGACACATGGTGTGGTTCCTTCTACGCTATCGCAAGTATCGAGTCAGCGTAAGCAGTTCCATCTGAATTATGCTATTGCCTGCTTGGCTCAGCCCTAGCACAACAATAAATCGATAGACAGATTGATTACAGTCGGTAGTGATTTAGGCTTGACCCTTGTGAACAGCCGTGGTATAGTTCCGCAAATAACATATTTTATTCTTGATCGCTTCAAGTTATGCAGATGGCTCATTCTTTCTTATCTTTCCAAGCTTATCTCGCTTTACACGCTGATTATTGGCTTTTTGAAGTTTGAGCAGTCGGGATTGCTCCTTTGTGTGGGAACTCTTGGCTCTTCGAAGTTATAGTTGTTATTTTTCCTGTTGCCATACGATCACGTAGCGTTGAGCTCGACGAAATTTCCTACCCTTCGTCCTTACGCGATAGACAACCCAGTAGGCCGATATCAGCGAATCAGAAGTTGTTCAAGATCGGGATATCTGCTACTCTTGCGCTCACATTAGCCAACATCGGCCCACGATATTGTTCGTTGCGTAAGGAAGGAGGTTAGAGACAAAAAATCACATGCGCAAAGACGTAAAGGCGGAAACAACAACGCGATGTATTCAACAGGTTCTCGGCAAGTGTTTTATTAGTCATACTCGAGGAGCAGCAGTGCTAGCTGGGGTGATCGGGGTTCATGCTCGGCCCTTATGCCAGGTCCAACTCGGTGGCGAAAACCGAGCGCACTAGCCGCGAATGGAAAATGGGAGACAGGAACTCAGGCAAGAGTGAAATATAGGAAGCGGGATCCACGCCACGTTGAGATGACAGCAGAATTACAGGTAGTCACATGAAAGTAAACAGGTGAACTACAGGACAGAATTGTGCATATTTAGTAAGCTCAGTATCCTCTACTATCATGTCTTCTGGTTGCTGTCTTATGGATACCAGATCTCCTGCACTTTGCTCTCTGCCGCCTCGTGTTCAGACTCGATCGTCGAGCAACATCTCAATTAAAAGAGAGTGTTCTTAAGC